GAGACTGAGGCGCCGGCGCCAACGACGAGCACTCCCGTGTCGCCGACGGGAGCCCCGTCAACCTCTGCTGTCACACCAGCACCGTCCGAGGACTCTCCGAACCCTACGTCGGACGCCCCAGAGCCCACGCAGGCAACGACGAACACACCAGAGGCAACGACCACCGAGCCTGCAAGTCCAACGAGCGTGCCGGCTACGATTACGCCCGGCGGGAACGCAAACTTCTTTGGCAAATCCGGCGCAGAAGGACCCTCGGCTCGATTGAGCTGGACTCTTACACTTGCTGCGTTGGGTCTGGCGAGCTATTTCGTGCTCTAAGACTGTCAACCAAGTTGCATTAATACCCATTTCATGTTGTGTCCATGCTCGCCCAACTCACTTGACAACAATCATTTCTTGCCCACAGCGTAGGGCGGTCAACTTTCCGCTATGGTGAGGGCCGATAAGAAATGACCTCGGAATTGATGGCGCCAACTCCAAGCTCTAGATTTGTTTTCAACCAATCACAACGTGTGGCGAGTTTGGATTGGTCGAAATCTTGGAACATGTTGCCGCGTCGCTTCAGTTGCCAACGGGTAGACAGGCAAAGATCCTCAACCATGCGAGCGACGACGAAGCCGTTGACGCTACGCTACCGCAAGAAGGTCGCCGAGGCGAGCGCGCCCACGAAGCCTACGCCGATGGCCGTCGCGACCAAGCTGCTGGCGACGCCCGCCATCGTCTACGTCGTCACGATCAGCGACTTGCAGTTCCATCCGCCACGCCTTGTCGTGCCCCTTGGCAGCATGGTCCGATGGCAGGTCGGCGCGACGAACGAAGCCGTGCACGCAATCACGTTGGCGCTGGGCGATGCGTTCATCGACTCACCGACGCTCGACACACCCGGCGCCGTCTTCGAGTACAAATGCTCGTCACTCGGAACGGTCTCGTATGGCTGCAATTTGTACTCGTTCATGACAGGATCCATCGTTGTCGTCGCGGCCTTGTCGACCGTAGAGGCAAAGAGTAACCAGTGCTACGCAGACTACCCGCGCAGTGCACCCAAGCCGCGTCGACGCCCGTCGTCGTCAGCGATGGGACCGTTCCAGAAGCAGCTGGCCGTGTGGAGGGCCAAGCAGCCGAGAGCACAGCTGGACGCTGAAGGAGACGACACTGTCGACAATGAGGAAGGCGCTTTCTCCGAGAAGGACCGCGTGGCGCGCAAGAAGGTCGCGTCGACGCGTGCACCGGACGTTGTGCGCCCGACGGCCTCCGTCGTCGCCGCAGTAGCACCCATCGAATTACTCAGCCCCGTTACGACGGAGCAGAACGCAGCCGCCAAGATTGCATTGGACCACTTTGAATTTGTCCCGACGACCCTCGATGTTATGGCGGGCCAGACGGTCGTCTGGTCGGTGAGTGCGCTGGGCATGATTGAACACGCGCTGCAGTTGACCGTATCAGCACCGGACACTGCTGACGCAACGGTGGTGACACCGCCTTTGCGTTCAGGCAACACGGTCGCCTACATCTTTCCCCGCGCCTGTGTCGTCGACGTCGCGTGCTCCGTGTACGACGTCAAGGGCCGAGTTGTTGTCCATGACGCATCGTCCGACGTTCTCTTCGTCGGCGACGTCGAGTGTCCCGTCGTTGGCGACGTCGAGTACCCCGTCGTTGCGCCGACCGCAGAGAGCAGTGCGATCTTGCGACTGCTCGCGACGGCCCACGAAAAGCACGAAATGCGACGCACGAGTTATATGGCGCCCCCCGCGGCAGCGATTCCCGGCTTTGACCCGCTGGCCGCCTACGATTTTCTCAAACAACGTGCGTTGATCTTACATGTACTGCGACCCTGGGCTCATGCGCAGTTGTAGGTGCGAACGACGTCAAGCGCGACGGCAATGTGGTCTACGCGTGTCCGCCCGCATGCTAAGCCGTGCACGATTCTGTAAATGCAATAGAAATAATTTGATGGACAGTGTACACACTTGCAGCAGTATACATCAGTCGCATCGACGAGACTGCAGCCTTGCGGAGCTGTTGTACTGATGGGGCGCGTGGTGGTCACGTGCTCGATCCCATTTATATGCATCAGTGGGCGTCAGAGCTCCGCCTGTTTCGTGATTGGGGACGCCAGACGCTGGACGCTCTGCGAGCTCCGATTGCCATGTTAGTCGATAGCACCTTTGCAGCTAACTAACCTTATTAGAACAGTCCAAAACCGGTTCAGTGCTGAGCTACAGCTCCTAGTAGCGCTCCCTATGCTCGTGGGACCCGATACCACCAATA